ACTTCTGAGCACTGATTGGTAAAGACTGCTCCAAACAAGGATTCTCCACCAATAGGAGCTATGTGCGTGTGCTGCAGTTAATCAAGTCAGATAAGACCATGCATTTTGGATGTTTTTCTCTCTGTCTTTTGTTGGCCTTCCATCGGTCTCCTTATTTGGGCAAGTGTAACAGTCAGTACCATTCAGTGCTGTCCATATCATCCTGTTTTGTAAACCATCAGCATGTACACCTTTCTTCGGTACTTTTCCATTTAGTACAGCATAACATAAACATTCAATAATAGTATAAATTAATATGGAAACTTAATATAATGAATATATTGTAAATATTGAATAAATGTATTTACAACACCTTAACAGTCTTTTTCCAATTTTGTCTCTTATGTTAAAAATTATCCAAGGTACTAACATTGTTGACCTATTTAAATAAAGTACCAATGACACACAATGTTGACTAACCACTGCTTAGCTGGTTGTACTGAAAAGTCATTACAGAGTATCAGGTCACTGGATTGCCATGTTTTCAGATAAAAGTATGGGTATTTAAATAGTATTATACCAGTATACTGATAGTAGTATCAGTATTGGTTTGTCCCTAGTGCTAGATTTCTTTTTTACCATTTGGACTGAGCTGCTATCATCAGACCATCACTGTATGTACTTTGTATGTTCTTTGTATTTCAGCGTTGTCTTCAGCTAAACAGGCTGAGATTTTACTCATTTATGACTTCTAAAAAGATTATTATATTTCATTACATATACTTTTTGAGAGATTTTTGTTTGGTGGGTTTTTTCCTGATGATGTGTATGTGCCATGGCTTAAAAAAGGTTGTAAAACACTGGACTACACTCTGTCACTTTCTCAAGTGTACAATATATTTTATCAGCCCTAAAGTGATTTGTATAATCATAGCGAGATAGGTGGTTCTGTACACTGCGTCTGTGTTAGGTTTATTCTAACATATGTGACGGCAAAGTAACAACACAAAAGATGCAAAGACGTCTGGATCTTTTTCTTGCAAGGGGAGAGTGCAGCTTGCTCTTCTGGCAGCTTCCTCATCAACTCCGAGTTGCTGCACCCTTCCTCTGCTCTTTTATTTAGTTTACAAAAGTTTCAGATTACATAGCATTTGATTTTGTGTGAGTTTATGGAGTAAGAAGCTGGATGTGAAAATAGGTGTGAATGGGGGTGTGACAAGGAAAAGATGTGAAGCAAGCAGTTTGTTAAAGTGATAGTACAGCATGAAGCAATGATAATAAATGCAATTCTTCCAACATTTCCCTCCTGTTTATCATTGATGAATGCCAAATTCTCTTACCCTGCATTATGGCTCCTAATACAAGGTTTTTCATAACACATTCATTTTCATAGCACCTTCATCAATTTAAGATTCTCAGTTATGGTATTCTTCTTCGTCAGTGGTCAGTGAGGCAACATACTCTTCTGCCTGCTGTTGGAAATACGCATCTGCTGTTCTCTTGTCTAGTGCTGTCTCGATCAATCTTATACTCAGAGACCTCATACAAGGAATACAGCAGCAGCCGCAGGATATCAATATAGCCACAAATGAGACTATGGACGTTAAGAGAGTTACAACTAAAGTTTTCCATTTACCAAAAGTTCGTTTAAACCATTCCTCAAGAAAATTACCAGCACCAGAATCGTCATGCATTTTTCTAGACAATGTCTTAAGTCCTTGGAGGGCCTTTGTTACTGTTCCATCTAGAGCAGTATTATTTGGTATGAAAGTACAACACATCTCTCCAAACATCGCACAAACTCCTCTTTTTTCTGCCAACATCATGTCCAATGCCATACGATTTTGTACTGACATCAGAGAGGTTGGAGCAAGTTGATCAGACAGCCCCTCGATGGCATCTCTCGTTAGGTTTGTCAGTTGTAGGACATTGAAGTGTACATAGTTTATGAAATCAGCATTCTTATTTGGTTGCACTGGAAAGATTGCTGATATGATTGGTAAGCTTGCACGTATATTTAATTTAAATCAACCTTCATGTTTGAATGGTTGCAGCGTTCTACTTTATATTAGCCTCTGAAAAGTGTATTACTGCAAGAATAGTAGCTAACAGTCTGCTACAGCACATGTGGGAATATTAAATGATGATTGAATGATTTTAAAAAAACAGAGTTTAACCCTGGTTAGCTCCAGGTTGTGGAGCCAACAACTTTCAGTCAGTGTTCTTGTGAAAATGTGTTGACATCCCAGCACATGTTGATCTTGCTCTGGGACACAGGAGACTTAATGAGAATTCTGGAGTGGGAAAACTTTCCCCTTTAATAGGCTCAGTGGGATTTGAGCCTCAGATATTAGGTCCACACTGAGCCTCAGGGTACAAATACATTTTGTGCAAGATCAAAAATAAACCAGTGATAATTACGACTCTCCGATGTGCAATTTAAAGACTCTATTTAGGATTTCTTTGTAATATTCTTTTTTTTTAACTTTGTGTCATGTGATGTGCCTCTAGTTGCCCTCTGAGCCTGGTGTTGTTGAGCAGTGATGCCAGTTCCAGTAAGGTGTTTTACCTCTCCATCTTTTTTCCACTAGGGTAATGCCAACATTGTGAGGAAGGTGGATGTTGAAAAAGTGACCATGTTTGAAAATCCATACATAGATGCAATCAAGAGCTTATGGAATGACCCAGGCATCCAGGAGTGTTATGATCGAAGAAGAGAATATCAGCTGTCAGATTCCACAAAGTAGTGAGTACACTGAAGGAAAAAGCACACTGACTCATAATGCTGTATATACTCACACACCTTTGACTTTGCATACTGGATACTGCAGTAGTGCAATGCAGGTTTTATTTTTATATTATTTGTAGGGACGCAGAATAACTTTAGTGTTTTTTTTCATCTCTCTCTGTAGTTATCTTAATGCATTGGACCGAATTTCAAACCCAGCCTACCTTCCCACCCAGCAGGATGTATTGAGGGTTCGAGTCCCGACAACAGGAATCATTGAATACCCCTTTGACCTGCAAAGTGTGATATTCAGGTGGGAGTCAATGTTGTATGTGATAGAAAATGTTGAAATGGCTTGGATTGTATTAGTGTTTAGTCCAGCAGAGGGCATGGAAGGACAAAGAAAGACTTTATTGTCTTTCTTCATTTTGTGTTAGCAAGATAGCTGAGAGGATGGATGAATAGCCTGTCAGTTAAGAAAACACTAACTTTTTTTTTCCTTTTCACTGTTGCCAAGCATCTTAAGATTCCGCTGAGATTCGATCAGTACATGGATGGATGCATAGATGGACGAATGGATGGTTGGTTGGATGGATGGGCCCAAAGAAATAATCAGTGCCATTTGTATGGCGACATCTGTTTTCACTAAATTTCACATTTCACTAAATGCCACCCCTCACCCTCTCTCCTTACCATGACAGGATGGTGGACGTTGGGGGTCAGAGGTCGGAGAGGAGGAAGTGGATTCACTGCTTTGAAAACGTCACATCCATCATGTTCCTGGTAGCACTCAGCGAGTACGACCAAGTGTTAGTGGAATCAGACAACGAGGTGAATAAATATGTACACGTTTGTAATTCTGTGTCTGGAACATGATATGATAGAACTAAGTGATATCTGTTTATGTGATTGTCACCTGATTTAAAATGATAGAAATGAGATCTCCAACCCCCAACCTGATATACCCCCCTGTGGTTTCCTGGGAAAGCATGTGTAAATGATCAGCCAAAAATTAAACTCCTGACGTCTCCTGACATGGGCTGCTCTTCCCTCATTCATACTGCCCTCCCTCTGGTGCAGTTAAACTTTATTAAAATCTGTACTTGAGAATTAAACATGGATTAATTAAAAGGTCCACTCTTTCTCTCTCTCTCTCTCTCTCTCTCTCTCTCTCTCTCTCACCCACTCCTCTGTTTGTATCCACACGTCACCTTCATTCCCCGTTTCTCCTCTTTCTCACATGAAAATCTCTCCAGAACCGGATGGAAGAGAGCAAAGCTCTGTTTAGAACAATAATCACGTACCCCTGGTTCCAAAACTCCTCTGTAATTCTGTTCCTCAACAAGAAGGACCTGCTGGAAGAGAAGATCATGTACTCCCACCTGGTTGACTACTTCCCAGAGTACGACGGTGAGAGACCACATCATTACCACACAGACGAGAAACAATTAGAAGACTGATACTGTTGTTAGAGCTGCTCAAATAAAGTAAACATAAGACAAAAAGATTCCAACATACTTAAGCAGACTAAATGCAATGATGACCATTCAAAAAGTAGGAACAAAGTCTGCATTCACAAACTTAGTTACTGCGCTGCATTACTGCTTATATAACCAATAATCCACAACCCATGTTGTTGTTTTAACACAAGATATATGTTTATATTGAAATAATTTATAATTATTTGGCCAAATTAATCAGATTAAATTTTTTTATCATATTGTAACAAATTGACACGCACTGTATATCCAATAATTCCACTGTCATCATCTCAACGTTGCTCCAATACACAGTCGATTAAAATCCATCTCAAGACCCAGCATGTGTTTGTTAAGGACACTAAGCTTGCATCAGACCAGTCTCACTGAGTGCAGGCCAGTAAATAGGTCTATGACATAGTGCTAACCGATGCAGATGTCAAAAGGATTGAGGGAGAAGGTAGACTGATTAATATTGTTGAGAACAATGACTTCATCAAAGTTTTTATTTCTGAAACTCTCAATGCATGCTACAAGCCACCTAATAACTAAAAAAAGTCAGATTTTTGCATATTTTTTATTCTATATTGATAGTTTCAGTCATTTGGATTAGCCACAAATACATTTTAAACATTTTTGTCATATTTAGAAATGTTGATTTGTCTTGGTTAATCACAATTAATAATAATTATAACATAATTATTATCATAATTAACCTGTGATAAGCCTACCCAGTTATTAATCAGATCACATTTGTAATAATTTAAGTAAGATTTCTTCAGTTAATTTTACTCAAACCTATTTTTTGCACTTTTTCTCTATCACCTTAAGATGACATTTCTCTCTTGCGTTATGCCCAGATTTGGCATTGAAAGATTAAACAAACGTATGATGTTACAGTGATTCTACAAAAGTCTAGGTGATTGTGATGGAACCGCTGCACTGTACTTTTTGACAGGTATACTCACACAGGTGTACTGTAATTCTCCGTCTCCAGGTCCTCAGAGAGACGCCCGGGCAGCACGAGAATTTATCCTGAAGATGTTCGTGGACCTGAACCCAGACAGTGACAAGATCATCTACTCTCACTTCACCTGTGCCACTGACACAGAGAACATCCGGTTTGTTTTTGCCGCCGTCAAAGACACCATCCTGCAGCTCAACCTGAAGGAGTACAACCTGGTGTAGAGCGGGGTGGGGCTGCCAATCACTGGCTCTGCAAACACACACAAACACACTGACTGATGCAATTTGTGAATTGAACTCATGTCAAAACAGACACACATGCATATGTTAATTTATTTGCCATTTGTTGATCTCTTGGTCCCCGAGTTGTGAGCAGAGGAAAACTCCTGCCCTTTGAAGAGTTGATACAATTTTTTAAAGCAGGAGAGAAGGATATTTGGAAGGTTGTGGAAGACTTTGCTGTTTGGTTTGTACAACAATGACTTTAAGCTTTGTGCATTGTGAAGTTTTTCTGTTGGTTTTTTGTTTGTTTGTTTGTTTGTTTTTTTCAGAAAGAAAGAAACTACTTAGTGCACTGGAGGTAACAGGGGCTTTTTGTCTCAGTCTGAATGAATGCAAAATCCAACAACCCTTCTCCCAACCCTCCTTTACCTGTGGCTTTATTCTGAAGATTTGTTATGGATTTTTGGCCCAAAACAGGAAATTATGTAACACATGTCTGATTAACAGCTTCCTTTTCCTCTTAAAAACAATTGATGAGTAAGTGTTGATGAGTCGACATAAACTGTGATGTTTAAATTATTTCCTAATAATTTGTTACTGGTTGACTTAAATCATCATCATTATTATTATTATTATTATTATTATTACATTGCATTGACTTTGGTATCATCTGATGAGAAGGGCACACGTGACCATGAAAAGACACATTTTGGAAATATTTGCAGTGACCACTTTACACAACTGAGCTAAAGGAGAAACTTGGATATGCAAGAGAAAGCTGGCCCAGGAGAGAAGCACAGGAACCACCGCTTTATCACATCAGGACAGAGACTGATAGCGAGGAGGTAATTCTTACAGGAGAAGGAAGAGGAGGAGGAGAAGGAGGGGATAATTTATGTTGGACTTAATTTATGTGCCACATTAACGCTTTTTCAACTATGACTGTGTGTACATTTATTGCCAATGCCAAAACAAGTCATGGACCCGGCTCCACTCTGTGCCATTTACTTCTGTGAAAGGAATGAAAAGTGTTGAAGAGGACGGACCAGGACGATTAAATATTGATCAATCAACAAAATGCAATTGATATAGGTTTTCCACCAAGTTGATGGTATTACACGTACACACACACATTTGTACAGGTGTGTGTTGTGCTCTGCAGCAATGGAGTATATGTGGCCACTTCCTCAGTACCAGGGCAGTGTTCTACCAAAGTAAGACCTTCATGTTTCTGATTGACCCATCTGTCTTTACAGATTCCTAGTTCCCCACATACTTTTTTTTGTGGGGGGGGGTAACACTATTCTAGACCGTACGCCTGTAATTTTACATTTATTGAGGCATAGTGCAATTATGAATGCTATAATTATTGTACATACATCTCTCTCTCTCTCTCTCTCTCTCTCTATATATATATATATATATATATGTCAGCATCTTTGTTGGCTTTGTAATCATTTCCTTTTTGGCAGATTGAATGTGCCGTATTGAAAATATGTATCTATGTAATTGTATGTCCAATGAAAATTTCATTTTTTGGAAAATAAGAAGATGTTTACACGTTTGTTTTTGTTGTTTCTTTTTTTTTTTTAAATATGAGGAATATTTTTCCATTTTACCAACACCTGCTTCAGACCTGATTAAAAAGTAACTAAGAATATTAATATTATAAACAAACGTCAGATGGAAGGGTTGCCAGGATTTACAGAATCAGGTTGATTCATTCTTAAATAGAAACAACAGACTAAAAGGAAGTACATGGCTGATTACTAATGAGTAGTTTTTAACTTTGCACAGAGGGAAATAATATTAACTCCCAAATGGGAGAAAATGGGTTACTTTTTGCAGGAGCTCTATGCTATATATGCTTAGTGATATAACCCATTGAGTCTTGAGTTTTAACTCTCACTTTCTTTTCACTTACCTTTTTATTATTATGTATTATATTTGATGAATGAAATGTGGTCGGAGCTTCGGTTCCAGGTCTCACACACACACATCCATACATTCTTACCTACTGATGAGAATAAGAAGAAACACAGAATGAAGTCTAGACATAAAATATTAAACCCAGTATAAAGTCAACAGCAGCACACTGTTTGGATTACCCAGAAAGGAAACTATACTACTACTAATAATAATAATAAGTATACTTTACTTGAGTAGTTTTTGTTCAGTCTGTGGTTCAGTGCCTGCAGCATCTCTGTGGAAGAAGAGCGTTAAAGATAGCTTCATGTTACACATCAAATCATTGAATATTCTTCACTTTATGAACTTATGAGTGAATTTAAATCAGCTTGCTGAAAAGTCGCTTTTTAAAAAAACCCATCAGATTTGTACCTCAAAATTCTACACAGTAGGACCAAGAAAAAAAATAATTATGTAACCCATTTGTATGGGCCATAATGGAGTTAAAATGGTTTTAATGACACATATACAAGTGTAATAATAATAATAATAATAATACATTTTATTTCATAGGTGCCATTCTGTCACCCAAGGACACCTTACAGTGAATACAAAGATAACAACACAGCATTAAAAAAAACAAAACATAAAACATTAAGAACAAGTTAAAATACAGCAGTGAAATATCAGATGGAGAAGGCAATTTTAAACAGATGAGTTTTAAGTGCAGATTTGAATTGTGGGAGTGAATCGATGTTCCTCAAGACGGGGGAGTAGAGCTGGAGAGCAGAGCGACTGAAAG